TACATAATACTGTAAATATATATACTACATAATACTGTAAATATATATACTACATAATACTGTAAAAAATACAAGACACACGACACAGTAAAAATAAAACCCAAAACAAGGTTGCAGCAGATGATTTGAACACTTGAGGTTGTTTCTGATGACCCTGCAGTCGTGGTAAAAATCAGGAGTTCTTCTCTGTGACCTGATGGACCTGATGGACCTGATGACCTGATGGACCTGATGGACCTGATGTTTCCTTCTGTCTGCTATAAACATCAATCCTCAAAACATTTCAGTAAATTATTGATTTGGTTTTCATTTAAGAAAATACATTTAAAGCTGACAAATGCTGATTTCCATGATATTGGCCCTTTAAAATATAACAGCATGTGGTTTATGTGGGGGTCCCTGGAAATGTAAGGGGTCCCAGACCTTAAAGGACTGAGGAGGCCTGCTTTAGACAGAACCTCCTACATCCCAGGACCTGCAGAGTTTATTCAAGATGATGTTTTAGAGCTCTGCCAGGGGAGCTGGGAGTGTGATGATGATGATTAAAGTGCATTGGCTGAAACATGTGGAACAATTGTTTTTGATTAAATATACAGTTTTTGATCCAATAAGTTGTTTTAGTGAAATATTAGAATGACAGACTTGACATCATCCAAACACTGAGGTTTAAAATCATCTCAACAGTTCCTCATTAGAAGCTAAAATCAGATGAAACAGAGCGTCAGTGAACTGTCCTGATCAGGCACACAGGTGCTGATGATGACGAGCAGGACTCTGAAATGTGCTGACTCAGCACATTTTGACCTGATGTGGTGTTCTGTGCAGCAACAAAGGCATGGACCACCTGCACTGCATGAAGATGAAGAACGTGGTGCCTGTGTACGACCTGCTGCTGGAGATGCTGGACGCTCACATCATGCACAGCTCTCGCCTGCCTCGCCGCCCCTCCAAGCCGGACCCCACGGATCAGCCGGAGAGCAGCGCCGCAGGACCCTCCAGCACCTGGACTCCCAGCAGCGTGGCAGCAGGATCTGCAGCCCAGAGCTCAGATTAGACCTGTTAACGGATGAGGAGGTCAGGCCTCAGGGTGGGACAGACTGAACCCTCAGAGGACCCTCAACATCACTGAACTGTTCTGTAAACTTTACATCTAATACTCCTTCATGCTTTATTTACCTGTTAGACGTAGATATTTCTGCAGAAAAGACCACACTTTATATTTGACTTCAACATTCAGACACTTCTGAGTCTTATGGAGGTAAATTTGTGTTTTTATGATTCAATCAAACAAAATAATTTCAATCAAAATTAATATTTTCAACCAAAAAAAATAATTTCAACCAAAAAAAAT